TTGACCTCTGACAAGTCTGACAAGCCCGACAACTCTTTCGACTCCTCTTCAAGTAGGAATTCCCTCAAAGCATTTCTCATCTCTCTCCTCTCATTGCAATTGAAATAGAATTATTCTTCTCATTTCAATTACATACATAATATTATTGATTGAAAATTAATATTTATATTGAATGTAGAAGGCAAAATTCAATATTGTAATGAAATTCGGGCAATTCAGTAGTTTTTTTTTAAAATGCATTTTCCGAGAGTTAAAAATTTTTTTGGATGTTACGGAAAATTGGAAATATTTCAAAAGAAATTTTTTCATCGCGCGGTTACAAGTATTATTTGAAAATCAGTGTGAGAATCTATTAATATTTTTCATTCCCATACAGAAATAGCGTAAACGATTATAACAAGTGTATACTGCATAATAAAGCATGCACTGGTAGCTAACGTACCAAAGTTATTAAATTCTAGTGGGTCCGGGCAGTAAAAAAAAAACCGATCAAAATGAAATTAAACAGAAATTGAATGCCAGCGCTTGAAGTTCCTAATCATAATTGGTTAATACTGAATACACCACTATCAGATCATAACAATTTTATGAGGAAAAAAAATCGAGGGGTGTGATTTTTTTTCACGAGTCGCTCCAATCGATTTTTGAAATAAATATTTTTTTAATGAATGGTGAAACTCATTGAGACGGGTAATTAATTTAGCACTGAGACTTGAGGGGGAATATTGTGGTGGCAGATTTTCAGCGATATTGAAGTGAAAGTAAATGACACTTTGATCATTATTTACTGGGCGGTCTCCGTTTTATCCACATTTATCGGTCATTTATCAGCGAGTGGCTTCGATACCAAAAGATTTCATTGGTTGAGTGCACTTGGCGGCTCTCTGATATAGCACCAGAGATCTTGACCTAGCGCTATTCAATGCCGCGGAATTTCCTCAGCCATTTTTCCGCTTTTCATCCCCCACTCGAGTCGAGAGGATAATTTGAGATTATTAAAAATGAGATGCTCCGGGAATTTCTCCGATCGTCGGAGAATTTGTTGATTGAAAATTTATATGGTGATGAATAACTGATATAATTGAGGGCGGGAGGACAATTTCGTTCTGCCTGAAATTCTACGAAAAAAAAACAAATGGAAATTTTACATTCAACTAATAATTACGACAGCCACGATGCGGTACGGATTGTTAATTTTATTACAGCTTTCTTAAATTTTTAAACTATTGTGGGAGTGCAAATTTTTTTGACTGTAAAATTGGTGGCACGTTGGAATTTCCTTTGACACCCAAAACATATCAAATCTATATTCCCTAGATTGTTTAGAGCATCAAAAAATTATGTAGATATTTTTTCCCCTAGAATTCTTGGCAGTCCGCCTACATACTTGTCTCTCAAAATAAATTCTGTTGGCAAAACGAGGGAATACGAGCCCCACTGTCCCTCATTTACGTTTTTTGAACTCGATATGTAACACTTTATATCGCGTATTCAATTGACCTGTGTGTATTTTTAATAAAATTGAAGAACTGATGAAATACCTCAGGCAGAAAAAAAGTCATCGTTCTCAGGGACTCACACCCAATAAGAAATTCATCCCTGAAATCCTTCATAATAATTTAATCACTACTTGGAGGGAACAGATATGCAATATGCATTATATAAAAATCTAATCGAGCCAATATTAATATTGCATTGATTAATAAATGAAAAATTATACAAACGACGATTCATTAATAGTGAATAGTATTGGTTATTTATTATTTATTTAAATAATTTTGTAGAAGGTACGCAATTTTAATAGAATAGATTTTTCATAAGACAAATGTCCGAGAAGGAACAATTCATTTTTTTTCAATATCTCCACCGTAAAACGAAGAGAGCATTTCAGCTTGAAAACTAATACTTTTCAGAGCAGGACATTACGCCGAGCAATTTCGCTGGGCAACAACTTTTAGTTTTCCAAGTGTCCATAACACATCTACCCCGACATAACTCCCTTTTTCCCGATTCAGTCCGAGCACAAAGACCCATCCCTCAGATTCGATTGTAGTGCGTAACACGGCATGAACAATGAATCCATAAAACAGAAAGATCCCATCAATTCCATTTCATTCGAAATCTGAAAAAAAATATATATCTGATGAAATAGGAAACAAAGTGTTTTCCTCCCCCGATGGGGGAAAAAAAAGTCCTCGCCTCCCGACGCCCAACCAAAATATCTCCAATCCTTTGAATAAACTGCAGCCGAAAAACTTTAAAAAATAAAACCAAATGTCTAGGTTGTCCCTATTTCACTTTCCAAACAACAAGCCGTCTGTTTTTACAAACGACGTGTGTCAAATTAGTGGGGCAGTGTGCACTTGAAAATAAAACAGCGAAAAAGCTCCATTTGTCAGAGTAAAACCGATTTTTATGGGACTTGGCATGGGAGGGAAAATCAATTGCTGGAGTACCGAGGAATTTCCGTGGTTTAGCTACAATTATGTGTAAAGGAATTGTCAAGATATTTATGGTTACGATGACAAAGAGATGTGGAATGTCATTATGTCCCATATTATTTATATTATCTGCTAAAATGAACATAAATTTTCGTTTCAGATAATTTGCCGTGAAAAAAATCAGCCGTTGAAAATTTATAGATTAAACATTCATAACGATCCAAAATTCATTATACATCACTCCTCCAATAATTTCATTATCCAAATCAATCAAATTACGGTAATTATCTGAGAATAATCATCAGAATTATCTCCTTAAATTTAATAAAAAAATATTTCCATTGGATTTAGTCTCTCAGGCCCCCGAGAATGGGAGAATGAATCTGCGAAATGAATGATAATTGACGCATTGAAATGATTTTCAAACAATGAGATATCCAATTTTACTGAAATGGCGCTGGAATAATTGAAGCCCTCGAGCACCTCTCTTGTACCCATAAAATTCCCATCGACACCTATAAAAATTCAGGGAAAGAATCCTTCAAAGTGTAAAACGTCAAATAAAAACTGACACTACGAATTGCACATTTTAACCTCTCACCGTTTGTTAAATCCGTATCAAAAGCCGAATAGAATTTTCAATGGGTTTTTTTTTTTTTTTTTTATACGACTCTTATACTGTTTGAAGCGCCACTCCAATATCACTATTGGAAATCCATCCGGCTTGGAATTTTAATGTATCCCCGTCTTGGTGCAATCTTCTCTTCAATGCCCTCAACCCTCTTGCCCCCTTGAGGGATCACATTGTAATGCATATGCCATAAGTCACGGATAAGTTTGGTGACACTCATACGTATCACGTTCCTTCGTTGGTACTCACTCTCGGAGGAACGAGGTCATACTCTCAACCTTAATATCCAAATGTCAATTACAATTTTCCATTTTTCCCCTTATGCATAATAACTTGAATGCAAATATTATGAAAGTTTGGCTTTGAGGCACCGGACACTTTTTATTTACCATTATTATTGGTCCATCGGTGATGGATTTTTCATGTTTTAATCAGCGCCCGCTAACAATTTGTCGATTTTATTCTGTGAATTGAGTTAGTAGTGATTATAGTAGTCATTATAACACAATCGAGATCAATTTTTCATGGGTTCAACAGCCAAAAATTTTATTTAATTTCCTTATTCCATATTCTTAGTCAGATCCTGCTCAGATGTTGATTAAATATTTTCGCCTGTACGTGCAATAGCGCTTCGTTGATTTTAATTCAATCTGACAAGGAAATGTCAATTATTTGTTGAATCTTATCTTTCGATGGCCTTTCCGGGAGGTTTTCGTGAGGCGATGGATATTTTTTCAGTAAACAAAAAATTTCTTCGAGTGTTTTCATTGGCAGAAATTTTGTGTTAAATGGAACACGATTTTCTGGAATTTAAAACATTCTCGGGTTCTTATTCCAACGCGAAGAGATTTTTTTTTCACTTGCCAGCAGTTTTTAGGGCGGGACAATTCAATAAATTCTCAAAGCACCATTTCCCCAAAGATGTGAAGACCTCAGGGTTATCTTAATGAAGGAAGTTATAAACATTTGGATATCGCGAGACACCGGAAGAATGTTGATTTGTTCGGGGTTCGGGTTGAATATGAGAGTTCGTTACGGAGAAGTGCTGATACCAGTGAACGACGAGGGTTATTTGAATTATGTATTCATGAATATTTTTTAAGGGAGAATAAAATGCCGAGGGTATTGTTGCTGTGACCTGGTGCGCTCTCGTTGAGATGGCCATTGGAAGAGTACTGTGAGCACTGCGATAACTGTAATGGACACTATTGCTGGCGTTAGAAGCCTATTCTGGGTCATTATGGTACATCAACTCCTTCAGAGAGTTTGAGAATTTCAGAGTCTTGTGATGGGGCAAAATTTTCAATACTGAAAGAAAAACATTCCAAGTTATTCCTCAAAATCTTCCCTATTTTTTCTATATCAGTTTCATTGAACTCATTATTCATTCACGGTCAAACTTTATTCAAGTATTTCACATCACATTACAATATATGTCATATTATGTTATATTATATTATATATAAATAAATATTATATAAATAAACTTTTTTTTTTCTATCCGGGACATTACAGGACTGAAATAAATCTTGTAACATAACTCGTCACGATTGAATCAATCCTCATCTCTCGGTACTAGTTACTCCAATACGAAGTTCAATTAATCATTCTCGATGAATCCCCATTCTTCATGAGTTGGTCTTTGCCTACGGACTTTCGATGTTACCAATGCCGTATAAATGAAGACAAATTGCCAGCTGTTTGTCATCACTTGAATAAATATATTGAATGCATCGTTAAGGACAAATTCTTCGATATCAAAACATTTGTCAATAATCCGAGCACTCGATAACTTTACCCCATCGATCGAGTCCCTTATCAAACTCCACCTCTACCTAATCACTCGTTATCACCAAAATTTTTAGTTTCAGAATCAATAATCCGGCTCTCGCAAAACATCAATACCAAAGTACCTGCACCTGTGATTGTATCCACTTGATAAATTTATCGGCATACCGAAGTGGCAGATAATTCAAAACTTCCACCAAAAGCCCATCAATCAGCTGAGACAAACGGAAGGAACTCTGGCAACCGTGAGATGTACATCGACAAGCTTGAAAATCGAGGAACGACAGTCGAGCCACCGGATATTACAAGATAGCAGAGGGGTGATATCGAGAAATTTTTCGAAATCAAAAAAGAAAAACCGTCAATCACCACTGGATAATAATGAGAGGCACGAGGAAACAGCATCTAATACCACCAACCGGCTAGACTTGCCGGACGTGTCAATTCCAAAAATTGACGGATCACCACAAGGCAAGCCACTGCAGGTTAAACGCAGTGACTCATTCATCAAGAAGATAATAAAAACCTCCAAAGAGAATCTGACGTTGAACTGCGAGAAGCTGATCAAGAATATTCAGCGAAGAAGTCCACGTCTAGTCAGGCGAAAGCAGCAGTCAATCGACAGCAGTGATAGCCAAAAGAGCGGTGACGAGGAGGTGGCAGTGGTACCCCAGTTAGCCCGTCGAAAGGGGCCCAAAAGACGTCCCCTGGGCCTGTCAAACCTCTTCAAATCATCAGACCACTTGTCAGCAGCAAACCCAGTCCCACAAACGCCCGATCAACTCCCCATAAATCCATCAACACTCGAAGGACCTGCAGCCCCAGGGGAGGAGTCGCCGGTCCACAGGATCAACTCGGGTTCGCCTTTCTCCAAAAGATCAAGCTCACGCAGCATCTCCGTGGAAGATGTGGACGAGCTAATTCGATCTGAGAACAACGTGCAACTGTTGGAGGAGCGAACCGACGTCTACCGAAAGCTACGTCGTAAGATCGAACAAGCGAGAAGTCTATCCGACAACGAGAGCTCGGACAATTCATCGATTAATCTTGATGCACCACCAAGAAGACGTGCCCTGAGTGCTCGAATTGTTGAATCCAGTGTCAAGACTAAAATAACGAAAAATTTGTCGGCATTGAGACGTAACAAGCTCAAACGTTCACCAACACCGGATGACTTGCGTTACATTGGGTCATTAGCTGTTGCTGATAGCAATGAGAGGTCACACGATAATGCCTCGGTGAAGGAAGCGCCGATACCCTCCGGCCACATCGACAGACCAACGTTAAATTCAATAGGTTTTGAGTCGATTAAGCCACTGGTTAATTCCACGTACAGTCAACAATGCAGAATTGCAAATTCAGTGAATACTCGTGTTTCTAATAACACGAAGGAGGGAGAAACGCTGAAAAAGCTTGGGAATTCAAGAGCGTGGCGCACTTTGGTATCGACTGAGGCGCTGTGCAATGCCACAGTGAGATATCAGTTGAGTGACAACAATCAAGTGAGACAGTGTTCTACGAGTAAAATAACTGGTATAAGAGATTTTGGGAATTTATTGTTGGATGAACATCGGGTTATTAGTGGGCTTGATTGCTTGTCCGATGAATTGGATGAGAAATCGATTGGGGATTTTGATGAGGTGTGCTGTTATCGCGAGGAGTTGATTAATGGTGAAAATAGTGAGATTGATAAGGAGAGAAGTGATAGTGGGGTATTGACTCGGATTAAAGACTTGAAGACACAACTGGGCAAGCAACAGGTGAGGTGTGCTGTGGATAAAGATTGCTTTGGTAAAACATCTGATGTTAATATGGGATTGCTCGTGAAGATGAGATTCAGGGAAAAACTGATATTTGGATTCAGTGCGTTTGCTATACTATTCACACTTCTCCTTGTCATGGATTTGCAGATGGATTTGGGGTACAGTGGTCATCATTTGGTGCCAAGTCATGGTAGAGTCAGAATGGGAGATGAGCCTGATCGTGATACTGTTTACAACAATTTTCGTCGTAAATTTCTGCAGAGGATAAATGGGAGTAGAGAGTTTACAGCTGGTGATAACTCAGTGGGGACACAGAATACGAGGGACAGTGGTGTGAGGGAGGGTAGGAGATCGGGGGATCGGGATAATTCCAAGAGTGAACAAGAGTACGATGACTTTGCGGATCTTGTGGATATGGTACTTAATGGTGATGGCATTGATGCCGAAAGTGGTGTTGTCAGGATTAGTGGCGAGGATTACACCAATAATCCGACACTTGGGGAGGTGCAGGGAGTCAGAGTCCGGTGAGTCCATGATTATGTATTGCTACAATTTATTGGCGCTGGACAAGGAAACTTGTTCATTTTTATTCATAAATATTTTGCAGTTTTATTGTTGTCTGTTTTTTTTTTTTTTTTTTTTTCAAATCTAAATGTATAACGCACATTTATGTCTTCGGCATTGAAATTTTAAGGTGTGCTAGTTCGGTGAGCTGGCTTGACTAATGCCCCGCGGTTTGTCAGGCACTTATTTTTTCGAATCCGCTTATCAACGTGTGAGGCACCATTAGAGATAGTGCATGTGGGGGTCTGGCAAAGGAATAAAAAACAATTGCACACGGGTTAATATTCCTCGTCAATTGTACTCTGGGAAAATTTTTTTATTTTAGTGAAATTAAAATATTTGAATTGCTTCATGTTCTTTTACATTGCGTCGGTTATAAAAATTAATAAAACGCTTTAATTGCTTCAAGGTTGGGAATTTAAATGAATGAAAATTTTGGGCGATTCGAGAGAATTGATTTGTTGATAATTATTTATTGAAATTGAAGGGGCGGAAATAGATGTTATGAATTTTTCACAGAGAGTCCACAGAGGAGGATTTATAGTGAAATTCACTCGGACAGAATTGCGTTAATCGAATGATTAATTCGAGGTATTATTATCGATCGATCACAAAATTGGAGAGTGATTCTGAAATATTAAAAAAAAACATCAGTGCTGTATTTTTGGAACAAACAGCCTGAGCAAGCGTGACATACGCTGAATCATTGGGCAATCTCTTTAACAGAGATAAGACATTATTCGGGTCTCAGCGATGCGCAGGATGCATTGCAATCCTCATCATTAACTGGAAAGCACGCGATGAATAACTTGAGATATCTGGTCTATTCGAAGGCTGGAGTTAAAAGCTTTCGGTTATGAATTATTAATTCTCATTCGACGTTTCAATGAGGAAAAACCTCAGTACACGGGGTGAATAATTAAAGATTTTAAATATGTATTTATTATTCCAGTGAGAACTATTTAGGTCGACAGGCCAGCAACATCAGTCACTCATTTACCATTACTCAGTACTCATGACTTATTTTTTTTTTTTTTTACATTTCAAAATTCACATTGAATTTATGTACAATTTATTCCGGAAGTATCAGTTGACATCTTGAATATTCAACGAACATGAGTTCTCTAAGTCATAAGACAACAACATACTCAGCAATTTTTTATTTCCTGATAAGCAGAAAAATTTTCCCGCAAATAGTAACTCTACAGTTATTATCATTTTTCGAAGAAGTGATAATGATTTAGCAAGAGAATTTCGTTATTTTGAGAAATATAATTTTGGTGAATTTCTTGAAAATTGGGGGGTCTGTCAAATAATCTCTCGGCAATCGCTGATATTCCGGGCATCTCATTAAATTGCTGAATCACATTGTTTTCGATTGACTGAATGTTTATGATTAATGTGCAGTAATTTGAATTTACTATTGGGAGTTTGCGTGCTACAGAGCAATGCACATGGAAACGAAATGGCCAATTTGATGCACAGTTGACTGCTGAGCTACAGGTTTCAGACACTTTTTCCATCAGAGTCTACCCGAATAATACAGCAAATTTAATCAGCACAATTTGATTTTCCTTAAATTGCAACGAATGATTTACAATCGCTATTATTCAAATGCTCCCCGAATGTTTGATGAAATTGACGCAAATCGATGGACAACAATGAATTGGCGATAAAAGGATAAGATAAGGCTTTTCTGTTTGTTCTTCTCTAACTCCGATTCGTTCAAACATTCTATTCTCATGAATTTTCTCTTCACCGAAATTTTCACCGAGATTTCCATTCAAATTTTCTGAAACAATCACTGAATTTTTCCAGGACCTTCCATCATTTCGTTTTTTATTCCAAAAGATATGACTCTGTGCGTGTTAATTATTACCAAAATTCTCTCTTAAATATTGATTGACATAGAATCATCTCATAGAATAACTCCCGCAATTGTCAAAGCGATTTGAAAATACTCATGCGACGAGTGCCTGTCCGAGTAACAAAGACCGATACTAATCACGCTAATGAGACTGTTGAGGTATGGCAATTGTCGGTAATGTCTATAGATATGATACAAACCAAGAAGGCCAGAATTTGTCGTTTGACTGGAGTAAACAGTACCAGTGAATACCGGAGAACCGGATGTTCTCGTACGTCTGGGGACTGCGTTATCCCCATTGTCTCGAAATTCTCGGACTCACCAACAATGCGGTGGATATCCTATTTCAGGGGAATAGGATGAATAGGAGTGGGTGTGTGCGGGGTGGTTTTGGGAGGGTATGATGAGCCCGCGGCAGGATCGCGGGTCACTCTTGGATACTGTGGGGGGGGGGGGTTTGAGGGGGAATGATGGAAGGGGTCACGAGGTCGAACTCCCCAACGTAATGTTTGCACGGAAATAATTCACGAGACTTGGTCGCGTCGAGGTCAGGTAAACCTGAAGCGACGGCAATGGCTCAGCTTAAACTTGTGTACCCACATAGTGCGATCTTGCTCCCGGGTTAACTATCATCATGGATCTTCTCCAAATTAATTAGTTTGTCTCTACAAACTCACCTGGAGTTACTCCAAATTGCTCGGCGGTCAAACAATTGACGGATTTGAGAAAAGTTGGCCAATTATTTACGATATCGTCATTTGCCGTAATTTTTTATGGGGATAATTAGTCATTTATTTTTGAGGTTTGAGTTGGTTGAGTATTGTTGGGCAACTTTTTGAGGTCCTTGGGGGCAGGGGCAGAATTATTTGGCTCTTGGCACTCGGTGGTGGCTATTTTCAGTTGGACGTGGGGAAAAGGAGGTTTTAGAAACTCCACGGTATTCGATTTTGATGAAGATCTTTATTTGACTTTTTTTTATTTTGAAGAAGACGAATTCGATTTCAAGGGAAAACATATAATTGAATGATTAATTTGTTGTGTCATAATTATTAGGTATAAATGGATGAAAATTATTTTATTATATAAACGAAGTGTGAGAAACCTTGGAACGTTAACTCCCGACAGTTTTGAAATTCTTGATTTTTTAAATAACCACAAGGCTGATGATTTTGAGAGATATTTTTAGACATATTAAAGAAGAGGGATTTTTTTTTTTCGGGGATTTAGTGATCGGGATGGGATTTTAGAGCAGATGATAGTTATGCAAGTCTCCAGCGTGGACTGACTGATGAATATTGATAATTCGGTAATCCATTGGTCTCTCAACTATTCACGAGCCTATGAAATTGATAAATCCCACGAGAGGTGAGCTAATACGCGAGGGTTCGATAATCGGCTCTGAAGAATAATCGCGGGATTGATGAGAGAAAGAATTTCATTAAAATTCCTATAACATCCAATAATAATAATAATTCCTATAACTCCAAAATACGTTCCTTCATTTCAAATTGTCATCAATTATCTGCAATCAATTCGGCAATTTTTCGGCAATAAAAAAAACCACTCGCGCATTATTTTCATCTCCAGAAAACTCGAGTCATTAACATTGATCCATTAAAAAACAAGAAAAATTTGTTTATCAAGAATTTTCGAGTGGAAGGGGAATTTATTTAGGGCATTGCCCGAAATAAAGGACTTATTTAATTTTTGATTTGGAGAGTTTGGATGACATAAAGTTGTTGCTAGCTTTCCATGGTTCTTGCGACACACATCAGTGGTATTTTTCACGCCGGCCAACCCGTTCGCCAACTCGTCGTCTCTAAACTCGAAGTTGTTAAAGGAGCGAAAAAATAAATAAATGAATAAAAATCGAGCAAGAGGCTGGAAGAGATCTAGGGGATATGTGCGCCGCTCTCGTTTCGCCAAGCGAAAAAAAAAAAAAATTCACTTCAATCTAGTACAATTTAATTTGAGTTAATTGAAATATATTTTGCCCCGGGACATTTTACTCTCGTGTCTATAATCTCTAATTAATAAATTAAATAATAATTCAATAGTCGTGATTCTGATGAATTTTTTTTCCCCGTGTCATCCGTGAAAATGGATATTTTAAATTACCCTTAATAATAAATTACTTCCGGATAAAGTTACTTGGCAAATGTGTAGAAATAATTTCTTCTGATAAGTGTGGATTTTCTTGTTGCTGGTTAATTCAGCAAAAGTAATTTTTTTCCACGACTTCCAAAGCATTGGAAAGTGGAGGAATGGTGTTTGCTGAATGTGAGAATTGTTGGAGTGAGGAAAGTTCAATGCAAAATCATATATTTACAGATGCTAATCAGAGAATTGAATGGACGGTTTTATAATCACCCGTAATCCATAATTTCCAAAATAGTCTTGAAAAATCGTTTCAATTTTTAATGGAACATTTTTTAATTGATGATTTCATATCAATGCAATGGAAATTTCAGCTCGTGTGAATTTGAAAGTGTAAAAATTATTTAGGGCACTCATATCATTTTAAATTTCAAGAGTACATTTTCGTCAGGGTAATGCACTGACCTTACATCATTTTTTTCGTGTATTATTATTATATATATATAGAAAATTGTCGACCCAATTTTCACATATTGCGTGCCGATGCTGTACCAACTGTGCACGCACAAGAGCTAAAAGTCTAGTTGAATCACTGGGAGGCCGATGTGCAAATTTATGGTACTGTTATAATGTCACATTAATGAGGGTTACTTCACGTGGGAAGTGTTTGCGGATAATTACTGCAATGTAAATCCATTTTTTCTTCATAATTTAAAATCATGGGAGTTATAATTGCCCTACGAGTGATAAGTTACTGTTACATTAGCGGTATTCAGTGATTCGGTTTTATAATTATAGATGTTGATGATGTGGTGGATTCGTTAAACCGACACTGAATGAAAGTATTTGCCCTCGATTCGATAAATTTTTATTTCCGATAACCGTTTGATTTTAATTTGCCAGTTCACATTCTCTGATGAGATGAGTGAAATTTTCGACTTTAAAAAGTATCGATTTCTTTTGAAAACTATTGATTTTAGACGGAAAGATCGAGAG